GTCGTCAAATACTTTTAAAATTTAATTTCTGTGCCTTTCATTCCTTTGTCGTGATTTTCCAAATATTGTTTTAATCCAAAAAGATGAAAGCGATGAGTGTAAAGAATTTTGTTGATGTGCTTACAAATTGCACTTACTTTTAAGCATAAACATAAATATTCTTGTAATATTATGGTTAGAAGTGTCTGCCACAAGGGGATTGTATTTGTATGAATAACTTGAAAATGGTGAACCTTAGGGAAAAAATTCAGGTCACATTTTTTACTTATGTAGTGCATTAGAATATAAATCCGTTACAATAACTTGTAAAAAATACAGTGGCGTAGGTTTTTTTATAAAAAGGGGGTGACCCCTGTCCAGTTGTACACCACTGGTTAAACCTTTAGAGCTCATATTTTAGGGAATGCAAGGCCTACTATCGTACATTATTTGTACCAAATTTTATTGAGATCGGTTAATACATTCCTGAGATATAAACAAAAAATATATTCTTTTTAACAACTTCAACACCCTGTATCTCTAAAACGAGGCCGTTCCAGACTTATGTTTATAAGGCAAACTCCTATTATTTTAAAGAGATCTATCTGTCCTCGAAGTTTTCTGCATAAAATTCGGACCACCCTGTATAAGAATTCTATACGAGGTCTGTTCAGAAAATAACCGACCTTTTTGAATTACACGCTAATGGAGATATTTAGTGATGTGCGGTTGGCAGCATTACGTTGCGCATAACCACATGTTGGAATATTGATATCTCATTTAGTTTTCGCGATATTGTTATTTGAGTGCAGCGTATTTAAGTATTAGGGACAATTTTTGAAATGGAACAACGATGCAACGTAAAATTTTGGGTGAAGCTGAGGAAAACTTGACGGAACCGTTTCAGCTTTTGAAATAATAATAATAACAGACCTCGTATTTGTCAGCAGTTTTTTGTTCAATAAAATAGATCACTCTGTACATATTTACAGGGATGGTGACCTAATAAAAAAAGGTCGACACAGTTCTTTTCAAACGTGATTTTTCCAACTAACCTCCAACTCAACTATTTATATTTCCATTCATTAAAAAATAACTTCCGGGTAATCACAAAATTTCAAGAGTCACATTCAATACGCAATATCCACTCATTCAAACGAACGAGCAATCCATGAAATGCAAACGAGTGGGTTTCCATCTGCCATTTGGAAGGATCATGGAATTGTGGGGCAGAGCGTTATAGGACTCGAAATAAAAAGTAGTCAGTTGGCTTCCATGAAATAATAAATTCTTTAAATATGTAAAATGCGGCAGAGAGAATAAAAATGCCGTTATGGTGCAACCAGCGCATCCGAAACCCAAGCCTCCTGCGTTTGAAATATGCAGTAGCACATCAAGGTTGACCTGATAAAAAAAAATTGAACGTCGACTTTGCGTCGCGAAGCAAAACGGTTTCTATATAAATGCTTATTCGATGGCGACTGCAGTTTGCTAATGCAATAATAATTTCAGTTTTTATTTCGTTTCTGTTCAATTAAGTGAGGTTTTAGAGAACGAACGCGAAATGTACTTCGCCTAGCTCGTTAGAATAAATTTTCAATTAGTAGAAAATAATTGCAAGAATTGCGACATATATGTCGTTATAAATGTTATACAGGAAGTTTACTTTGACCTTATTTTTTTAATTTTAAGTTACCCGAGATGCTCAATGGGATTTCTCAATTTTTTGGTACACCCTGTATATCAGACTTTAAGAAAACATGACTAACTTTTCTTCTTGCAGTGTTGTATAAGATGATCGATATGTCTTGGGAAATATTTTTTTCTTGAAAACGACTGAAGATAATTAAATTCTGACGCTGTTATATTTTCAATAGTTGTCATTCAAATGTACGATACAAAGCCTTAATTGCCTATATATTCACATTTACAAAACCAATATTATTATTATACAGGGTGTTCTCATTAAAATACCACGTCCCCACTGACTTGAAAAAATGATGTAAAAACAGAAGTCAGAAAATAAGATTTATTATCATTAATATTTTAAATAATATTTTAACCAGCACAGCTTTATGAAAAGGTCTCAAAATAATCCAAAATTTTTTACATACAAATATAGGTAATATTACCAATCTTGTTAATATTATTGATAGCAAAAGCCTTTGACAGGTTGAATCACCGGATTCTTCGTTATCAAAATTTGGTATGTTAATAAACTTTTTAAAATTAACTTTCTAACAGACTGAATGTTCAGCAACGTAGTTTTACATTAATTGAAATTATTGCTACTTTGGGAATACCTAAGGGGTCAGTTCTTGGCCTGCTATTAATCAATACGTTCAATAATATTTGTGATAAAATTTTATCTAATAATCCCTTATGTGCAAATGACTTCAAATTGGTTACCTCAGTTACACCTGTTACACCTGTGATCATATTATTATTGAAAAAGACCTGTCAAGAGCAAATGAGTGCCGTCAAAGAAAAAAAATGCTACTGAATATATAAAATGTTTGTATTATGACATACATGAGAAAAATTAATCTTATTATTTACGGGTAAGTATAATATAAGTACAAAAATTTTCTGTTATAAAAAATGCTAAGCATTTTAAAGAGGTTTCCATAGCTTCTTTACTGTATAATGCCTTTGTCAGGTCAAAGCTTGAGTATGCATTTGGAACAAGTTCAGATGAAATTTCTTAAATACCTCTCCTTTAGACTTGACAATATAAGTATTGTTAGCTTTTTCACCTCATACCTCTCTCAAAGGAAATTGACAGTGGAGTATCATGGTTTTCGATCAATAGAAATAAATGCCAGGTCTGGGGTCCCTCAAGGATCGGTCCTCGGTCCGCTATTATTTCTAGTTTTTATCAATGATATTGTCCGGAACCTGAATTGTGAGGCCCTTCTTTATGCAGATAATCTCAAGTTGTATCTGTCTATCAGATATTAATGATTGTGTCAAGCTTCAATCTAACCTGGATAAAATTTCTGATTGCTCTGAAAATATTACCTCTGAACATCTCACAGTGCAATTTTATGTGTTTCACGAGGAAAGCAAATCCTATTACTTTTAATTACGACATTGACAGTAAGCCCATTAGGAACTGCAGAAGTTTTAAAGATCTTGGGATAACCTTTGAGGGTAAGCCTAGTTTTGTTGAACACTACCACGTGAGGCACATAAAAATCTCGGCTTTGCTCTAAGAAACTCCATATTGTATAAAGTATGTATATAAGTATATATAATATATAGTATATATAATAAAGTATATATAAGTATAAGTAAAGTATATATAGTATATATAATAAATTCTCAAGAATTTGTAAAGTAAAATCTATTTCCCTCAATCTTGTTATTATAATCTAAATCAGGGTTTCCCAAACTTTTTGAGTGACGGAACACCTTAGATTTTTAAAAATTTCACGTATCACCACATTCATTTTCTAGTTCAAGTATTCTGGCAATAGGGTAAAGTTGCAAGTTTAAGTTTTAGGTAGTAAAAACAATTTTTTTATAGGTTTTATTAATGACAATTATTTATTTATTCATTTGATAAGAACGACAATTCAGAAACAAAGAACACAAAAAATTAATATAGACTTAGAAAAAAATGAATATAATCTCAAAAACAAAAAAACGAAAATGATTGTGATGTGTGAAAAAGGAAATAAAACAAGAACAGCTCTTTCGATAAGTTGGGATATTCTTACTTACAGTGTACGATAATTCAATAAACAAAGAAATCTAAAAAAAAATTTAGATAAATTTGGAACGAATGCACTGAAGATGAATTTTTCGAGATAAAACGTCTGAATCTGGTTCGGACTGAGGCAGTACAGTATTAGGGATCATGAAGGCTTGCAAAAAATATAATAAAATTTCCAGGGTCGTATTTAAAAAAAATTAAGTTGATGATTCGATAGAGGGCAAAAAGTGGCCATGAGAAAGTGTTTTTATTTTTTCAATATCACCTCAAACATGGTTGAAATAAAACAAAAACGGATTTCCAAAATTTCGTTTTTTTCAAATATTTCGAAAACTAATCATGATAGTCTTGATTTTTTAGAGGCATAATGTTGGTCCCCTGATTACGCAACTTTGCCCCCATTTAAGCTACTTCGTACCTCTTACCGTTTCCGAGATCCCTGGGGCTTGATTTTTGAAAACAGGAGAACTGATTCTCCAGAGAAAAAATTCACCTGACAAATTTCTCTTAAAAACTTAAACACTTATTTTTTAACGTTGAAGGAATCCAATTCTCTAAAGAATTTAATTTATGCCGTATGTCGAGGATATATTTGCAACTGACCAATCAGCGGGCAGAGTTTTCTTCAATATTTGCCATTATTGGCGACCCTGATGTTTAGTCACTTGATTTGATTTTGAAGTTTGTTTTGTAAATGTCATTATATTCGTCAGGGAGACTAGACATCTCCATGATATTTGTAGTAATTTAATATAACTTCAATTTGAATAGAAGTATATTTGAAAACACAAAAAATTTAATATTATTATAATTATGATGAAGCGTTCGTTCACGTCGAAAGCTCAAAAAAGAAATTAATATGCTTAGAAACAACGAAGAACTTTTTAAAATGAAAGTTTTCTTCTACTTTTACTCACAAAAAGGCCCAAGAACAGTGGTCAGATATTGCTGAAACTTTAAATGGTTTAATTAATGTTGTCGCGGATGGTTTACAATTTCTGCAGCTTGCAAATTATTCATTATATTTAGAATTAATAATAAATTATTTGGATCCATTACAAATTTCAAATTTCAAATGATTACGCACCTTCGAACAGCGAATGAATGAAGTGACTTTTCGCGCATGAGCATGAGATGACATTTGGATTCAAACTATTCGGAGAAAACGCCAATTCCCCCGACAAAACCCTGTGGAATTATTTCTCTTGATATCTAGAGAAAATATTCCACAAGAAAATTTCAAAAATCACATTATCTGTGTGTCAAGAGAAAATGACGTAATTTTCTCTAATGAACTAATTCTCCTGTTTTTAAAAATCAAGCCCCTGTAGTGAGAAGTGATTTTGTAACAGTCTGTATTATTAAATTTAAAATTTTAGATAATTCAAGCAACCTTAGTGCAAAGAACGAAAATAAACTTGTCGCTATGATATGTGGAAGCAAGAGAATACGCCTTTACAATGAAAACAACCCGTATCGCAATCAGATAAATCAAGTTATGGGACTCACTCACCCCTGAGAAAGTCGAGGTGGGTGTCTATCACGGCCTCCTGGTCGGTAGCCAAAAACCTGGCGCTCCACAGGACGTCGCCATCGATTGGCTGCTGGACATGGCAACTTAATTGTGTCGCAAAGCCCCCGTCCAGGACCACGATGTTTCTCTGGCTAGTGTCGGAGGTCGTGTCGCCGTCTCCCAGGCGGCTCTCCATCGAACTTGTGATGCCTGGGGGTGCCATGTCTGTTCAATGCAGTCTGAAACAAAAAAATCTGTAATTAATTGTAGGTACAATAAATTCGTAGATTACATACGTCAAAGGCAAAGACAACGTTAACTATCATTCGTCTAGAAGATCTAGAACACGACATTACGCGTATTGTACTGAGTATACATACGATTGCAGCTCCGGCTATTTTGATCGATTATTGTAGTTAAAAGTGTAAGTTTTGTCTTGAAAATTGTTCAAAACATTCACAAGGTATATTATTATCATTATATCAACTAAACAATTAGTGAATAGTGTTTACATAGGGATTATTAACAATATTAATAGCGATTGTGATTTGGCTCGGATATTCTTTGTTGATAGTTTTTATTGGTTTTTTGTTCCTGCTGTTTATCACGCTCAGAATAAGAATGCCACAGCCGTGCCCGAATTGTAAATTGATAATCAAACAGGGGCAACAAGCAATTCCATGTGATGGCTGTCGTACGGAGGTTCATGTAACTTGTGTTGGTCTTTCCACAGACGATATAAGAGTGACTCGTAATAAATCTAAGAGCATTAAAATAATATGTAATTCGTGTAACTCGTTTATGGGCGAATTAGGTGATATAAAGGCATTAATGAGCAGTATGCAGAATGAATTTAAAACAAGATTTGATAAGTTGGAGACCAGTATTTCAAAAAATTACACCGACGGTATAAGTGCTTTACAGGTTTCAATAAATCAGTTACAGACAGATTTTGGTGAATTTAAAAAATCCGATTTGACAAACTTTAATGAAGAAATGATTTTGGATACAGTTTTTCAAGAATTTGAGGAACGCCAAAAACGTAAATCCAATTTAATGATTTTTGGTGTTGCTGAAAATAATGAGTTGTCCAAAGAAGAAAGGATTAACAAAGAGGGAATGGTTATATCTGAAATTATTCAGTTTTGCAATGTTCGACTTAATTATCCTGATGGTATAAAACCATTTCGCTTGGGTAGATATATGCCGAATAAAACTGGACCTATAAAGGTAATATTAGAAAGTGAAAAGCAGGCTCGATAAATTATAAGTAACGCAAAAAATTTAAGGTCTCACGTACAACTAAATGGCATATTTGTATCGTACGATAAAACACCCAAACAAATGGAACAATACCGGCGGCTCAAAAAAGAACTTGAGGAGCGAAAACAAAGAGGAGAAAATAACATCAAAATAATGTACGTTAGTGGCATCCCAACTATCAAGACTTTAAACTGAGTGTACCCAATTACAATTCTTATGTTACCTTCCACTGTTACTATCAGAACGTAAATGGGCTTAGAACAAAAACGCAAAAATTTTTCAATGCGGTTTCAATATTTGAATATGATTGGGTGTTTATAACAGAAACTGGTCTGTCTGAAGATATAAGTAGTCAAGAAATTTGTCCACCTTCATATTTAGTATTTAGATCTGATCGCAATCTCCAAATTACTGGTCATCACAGGGGAGGTGGAGTGTTAATTGCTGTGAAAAATTTCTTTAATGTTATTAAACTTAATTTAAGTAGTATTGTTAATGCAGTCCCTAGCATAGATATTATTGGATGTAAGGTTACTCTTGGTAAAATTATTATATTTCTTTTTGCTATTTATATCCCACCTCCAACTACAGTAGCAGAATATGAATTGTTTTTTGATGCATTTGAGAATTTGTCATTGTTTGAAGGAGATTGTAGGATATTAATTTGCGGAGATTTTAATGTAAGTAAGTTTAGGTTAGATGTAGATGATAGTAAGGTTAGGCAAATTCAGAACTTCATGGCATTTCTCGATTTGACTCAGTATAATACGGTGTTGAATGCAAATGGTAGAATGTTGGACCTGATTCTTGGAAATTTTAAGTGTAGTGTCAGTAGGGACCAGGTTCCGTTTGTTACAGATGATATTCATCACCCTTCATTAGTTAACAACTTTGAGCTGAATACAGGTAGTACACAAAAATTTTCTTTTAATAGTGATATTAGAGCCTATAATTTTAGGAATGCCAATTTTCCTCTACTATATGATCGAATATATCATACTGATTGGTCACATTTAAAAGATAGTGTTGATGTTGAAGAGGCATGTACTGCATTTTATGCAATAATATATAATATTTTTGATGAATTTGTGCCAAAGTTTAGAAAAACAAATCGTTCTTCTCCGCCCTGGTTTAACACTGAAATTAAAAATAATATACGATGTAAAGAAGTAGCTCATAAGAATTATAAAAAATATAAAACTGATTATTACTTGAATCAGTTTAAGACATTGAGAACAGTAATTAAAAGGCAAATCGACGCTGCGTATAAAAATTATGTCTATCAACCAGCAAACTATTGACTCACCACAGGCCATAGTGGATGGTTTTGCTCATTATTTTTCCAGTGTTTATATAAATTCTAATCCAGAACACGCAAATAATGTCTTCTCGTTTTCACCTAATGTAGTAAATATAGCGCATGTCACAGAGAATGACATTCTCCTAGCAATAAAAAAATTAAAAGATAAAATGACTGCCGGTGTGGATGGTATTCCTAGCTTCGTAATTAAAGATTGTGCGAATGTGCTTGCAACTCCACTATGTATATTATATAATATGATTATTAAATCAACAAAGTTTCCAGATACATGGAAAATTACTAGAATATGCCCAATTTTAAAATCTGGAGATGCATCACTGATTCAAAACTATAGAGCTGTGGCTATTTTGAGTAATTTGGCTAAGGTATTAGAAATAATTTTATATAACAATATTTACACCTCTGTTAATATAGTATTGTCGCCAAATCAACATGGGTTTATGTTAAAAAGGTCAACAGTTACAAATTTAGCATGTGTTAGTCAATTTATGTGTGAGAATTTAGATATAGTAGGTCAAGTAGACATAGTTTACACCGACATACAAAAGGCATTTGATCAAATTGATCATTATTTACTGTTATCAACGCTAAGGGGTTTTGGCTTGTCCCAAAATTTGATATTGCTATTTACATCTTACTTGTCATCAAGGAAGCAATTTCTTGAATATGGAGGTTACAAATCACAAAGTTATATAACAACATCCGGTGTCCCACAGGGATCCAATTTAGGCCCGTTACTGTTTTTAATGTTTATAAACGATATCACGTCCGTAATTAAGTGTCGTCATCTTTTATTTGCAGATGATTTAAAAATTTATAATAGCGTGGACAGCATCAACGACTGCGTTTTCTTACAAGATCAAATCAAGAGAGTCCAAGGGTGATGCGTGGATAACTTTCTAAAGTAAAATATGTCCAAATGTAAGACTGTAACTTTTACTCGGAAACAGAATTATATTCAATATGATTATAATATTGACGGTTATATTCTCGAGCGATGTTCTGAATTTAAGGACCTTGGTGTCTTATTTGATTCTGGACTTAGTTTTTCTGGACATATTGGACAAATCACAAAAACAGCTTACAAGCTACTCGTTTTTTTTATGAGAAACTGGAATAACTTTTCAAATATTAAAAGTTTAAAAGTTTTTGTTTTTTAAATCACAAGGAACCTATCCTGAAAGAGGTATAGATCATAAGGTTTTGTTGAATATGTTCAATGTAATTTCCTTAGGGGAAAGGAGAAATTGTAGTGCCATAACGTTTTTATATAATTTAGTACATAATAATGTTGAGTGTATGTTTCTCGTTAGTAAGCTCTGTTTTTTGGTTCTTCGTCAAAATTCTCGTGGAAATTATTGTTTTTATTCTCCCATTTGTCGCACAAACATTATGCGTAAATCACCAATATTCAATATTTGTAATGTATTCAATATTGTTTCAAATAGCTGTGATATTAACTATGACACGTTGAAAAATATAATTGGTTTATATATTGAAAGATTGCAAACTAATGCATGAACCTATTCATGATTTATGCCAGGTTCACCGTTTTTTTTTCTTTCTTTTTTATTTTCGTTAGTTTTTAGTGTTTAGTTGAAAGTATATTCTTTCTGTATGTTTCCTGTAATTGGGTATTTTATTACCTGTTGGAAATAAAGGTATTATTATTATTAGTAGTAAATCTAAAAATGTCATTCATTTTTCACGAAAACTCCTAAGTTGTAACTTTTGCTACTACATTACCTTAAAAAAATTAAAATGGGTATGTAAATATTTTCAAATGTACTAGAAATTATCTTGGGTGCACTGACAATAATATATACCACAAATTATTATACAAATAATATTTATTTAAAGGGTCATTACATTAATTAAACCCGCAAAAACAGCACACAAGTATACGAAGAAAACAGTACAATCTTGAAATAAAACACAAACAGTAGTCCAGTAAACAAAACAAAGTGTCAATCACTAAAAAGTTTTCACAAGGTATTGATAGCTTCTAGATCCAAATCCATTTTTTGTTATTTCTCTTGTATAATTATTTAGAACTACTCTTGACACGTCTGTATACACAGGGTGTTTCAGAGATTCCAAATATTTTTATGAAATTTGGTATTCCGGGGTTTTTAAAGATGCCAAATACGCTGGTCTAATTATTTTTTGAATATTTCATAGAGGGTACAAGTTATGCTACATTTTAAGTTGCAATTTTAAATTATAATTAACTTTATATCAAAATTTTAGTGACTAGTAATTACTAACTACATTCACTAACAATCACTAAAATTTTGATATAGGGTTAATTAGAGTTTAAAATATTACTAAGAATGTATGCGTTGTTTATGAGACATACATCAATAAGTTTTAACACAAGCCTACTTTAAGAAAAGTCACTTATTTTATACACCATAATATTGTAGTCTTTTTTCTCGAAAACAGTCCACATTAGGAAGTTCTAACAAGAGTACATTATATTTAGAAAATAAAATTGTACATTAGAAATTGGAGCCCGAATGGTAAAAAACCTAACCTTAAAAAAATTAGAATTTAAAATGTAATAGGAATGTATAACTAGCGCCCTCTATGAAATATCCAAAAAATAATTAGACTAGCGTATTTAGCATTCTTAAAAACCCCGGAATATCAAATTTCATAAAAATATTT